AGAGGAGAAAGAAGAATTAAAATTGCAAATAGAGTTAAAGCCATTAGAGATCTTTCTCTAGAATTAGATGATGGTTTTAGACTTCAGCTTTCAGATATTCATTATGTACCCTCTTTGCGTAGAAACTTGATAAGTGTTTCAAGATTAGATGATGATGGATATGATTGCCATTTTGGTAATGGCAAATGTCGGATTGTGATTAATAATAAGTGTGTTGGTCTTGCCTTCCGATAAGACAAGCTTTGTTTATTATCACTTTTGAGAATATGAATGATGTGAGCACTGAGAATGAGAATGCTTCCTCATCTATGAATGCAACAAATAAGCGGAAGAGAGTGCATGATGTATCTTTGAAATTATGGCACTGTCGTTTAGGTCATATTTCAAGGGGGAGAATAGAGCGATTGATTAAGAAATCAATTCTTCCGCCTTTAGAATTTTCAGATTTAGAACAATGCATTGATTGCATAAAAGGAAAATATATTAAGAAAATAAAGAAAGATGTCAAACGAAGCGCAGGAATTTTAGAAATAGTTCACATAGACATATGTGGTCTTTTTCCTGTGAAAAGTGTGGATGGTAATGACTCATTTATAACATTCACAGATGATTATTCTCGTTTTTGCTATATTTATCCAATTAAGGAAAGATCGGAAGCGTTGGATAAATTTAAGATATTTAAGGCTGAAGTAGAAAATCAACACAACTTAAAGATTAAGGTAGTAAGATACGACCATGGGGGAGAGTACTACGGTCGACACACCCCATATGGCCAAGTTCCTGGACCTTTTGCAAGGTTCTTACAGGAAAATAGCATAGTTGCCCAGTATTCTACACCGGGCGAGCCTCAGCAGAATGGAGTAGCTGAAAGAAGCAACCGTACCTTAATGGATATGGTGAGAAGCATGATAAGTTTCTCTACCCTACCGATAAGTTTATGGATGGAGGCGTTAAAAACCACCATTCATATTCTTAATCGAGTGCCAAGCAAGTCGATGCCCAAAACATCATATGAGTTGTGGACAGGAAAGGAACACTCACTTAACTATTTACATGTGTGGGGTTGTTCAACTGAGGCTAAAGTCTTTAACCCATACATATGGAAGCTAGACTCCAAGACAGTCAGTTGCCATTTCATTGGCTATCCAGAAAAGTTAAAAGGTTATCGGTTCTATTGTTCTGACAGACAAACGAAGTTTGTAGAAACAAGACATGCTGTCTTTTTGGAGGATGATATGATCAGGGGGAGCATGGTAGCGTGAGAAATTAGTTTTACAGAGAAACGGATATACATGCCCAATCCTATGGTTCAGGAGCCATTCTTCACGCTACCTGTTGTTGATGTACCAACAGTGCAAGACACTGTAACAACAGCACCTGTCGTTAGTACTCCTGTGGCAACAATGAATGAACATGTGGAATCTATCCTTCAGGATCCCCTAGAACCCGTTGTCACACATGAGGGAGAGCAACAACAGCCTCATATAGAACAACCGTCATCTAAGGAGACCCCTAGAAGGTCTCAAAGAGTCGGGAGATCATCCATTACTGATGACTATGAAGTTTATGAATGTGAGGAATTTCAAACGGAGGGTGATCCCACCTCATTTGAAGAAGCCATGAGAAGCGCTCACTCATCCAAGTGGCTTGAAGCCATGGAAGATGAAATGAAATCAATGAAAACCAACGGTGTTTGGGACTTAGAAACAATTCCTAAAGGAGCCAAGACAATAGGCTGTAAATGGGTCTACAAAACTAAACATGACTTCAAAGGGAATATAGAAAGGTTTAAAGCGCGACTTGTGACAAAAGGTTTCACGCAAAGAGGAGGCATAGATTACAATGAGATATTTTCTCAAGTCTCATGTAAGGATTCTTTAGAATCATAATGGCGCTTGTAGCACATTACGATTTAGAATTACATCAGATGGATGTAAAGATAGCGTTCCTAAACAAGGATCTAGAGGAAAATGTTTACATAGCACAACTGAAAGGTTTTGTTGTGGAAGGAAAAGAACATATGGGATGCCGCCTGAAGAAATCCATTTACGGATTAAAACAAGCTTCAAGACAGTGGTATTTGAAGTTTGATAGTACAATAAGAAAGTTTGGGTTTCAAGAAAATATTAAAGACAATTGCGTTTATGCAAAGTTCAAGAATGGAAAATACATTTTTCTAGTTTTGTATGTGAATGACATCTTGCTCGCTAGCAGTGATGTTAGTCTACTACTAGAAACAAAGAAGTTCTTATCCTCAAAGTTTGATATGAAGGATATCGGTGAAGCTTTGTTCGTTCTAGGAATAGAGATTCACCGAGATAGAGAAAAGGGGGTTTTAGGATTATCACAAAAGGCATACTTAGAAAAAGTTTTAAAGAAATACAGTATGCAAAATTGTAAGTCATCATCTGCTCCCATAGTCAAGGGCGATAGATATGGAGAATTTCAATGTCCCAGGAACCAATATGAGATCGATCAAATGAAAGCGATTCCATATAGTTCAACTGTCAGAAGTTTACAGTATCCTCAAGCGTGTACTCGTCCTGACTTAGCATTTGTTACCGAGTTACTTGGCAGATATCAGAGTAATCTAGGAATAAAACACTAGAAATTAGTAAAGAAAGTTTTGCGTTACCTGCAAGGTACGAAAGGTCTCATGTTAACGTATAGAAGATCTGATTCCCTACACATAGAGGGGTACACAGATTCAGATTATGCAGGAGATGATAGAAAGTCCACGTTAGGGTATATATTCACTCTCGCAGGAGGAGCTATATCGTGGAAAAGCTCAAAACAAACCGTCACTACATCGTCCACAATGTATGTCAAGTTTGTAGCATGTTATGAGGTCACAGGGCAGGTGAATTGGCTGAAGAAATTCATGTCTGGGTTGAAAGTGGTAGACGACATACATAAACCACTCAAGTTATACTGCGATCATAATTCATTAGTATGTTATGCTCACAACAATAAGTCAAGTGGTGCTGCCAAACACATTGACATAAAGTATTATGTTGTAAAAGATAAAGTCCGGGATCATATAATTAGTCTTGAGCATATATGTACAGAAAAGATGCTCGCGGATCCGCTTACAAAAGGCTTACCACCCAACGTGTTCAGAGAACACTTAGCCAGCATGTGTTTAAGGGAAAGCCTATGATTCCTGGACAATGAGGGCCTAGTTGAGAATCTATTTTAAAACAGAGAGGTGCATTGTAGCTGTTTAATCTAATGGTAACTGACCGTGACGATGAGGCACGCTCTATGCACCGATCTATGATGGAATAGAAAAGATGAAGTAAGTTGAGTTTAAGGAATAAGGTGAGATCAATGGGGATAATGTTAGGTTGATCTCCACCAATTGACCCAACGGCCAATTGGGCCCCCGCGCCCTGATCGGGGGTGCCCAACCGCTCCATGGTTGGTGGGCCCCCGTCGCACAGCACCATAAAAAAGGGAGGTGGGGCCGGGGAACAAGACATGAGGTTCACCTGCGCCACCAGACGCCCCACCAATATCCCAAACCCTAACCAATCTAGAGAGGGGGCGTTGCCAGCGACGGGAAGCACCGCAACCGGCCACCGCCGCCTTTGCACCGCCGCCACTGCGTCCGCGCCTTCACCGCCGGACCTCACCGCCTCATCCACAAGCACAGCAATGGCTTCCTCCTCTTCCTCTAAGCCCGACGGTTTGCATCTCCTCTCTCTCTCTCTCTCTCTGTTTTCCCATTACCAGTACATGTTCTAGAGCTTACCAATTTTCTATTAAACCATTGCAAAAGAGCTTTGTATGTATAAACACCAACCCATGGGTTCAATCCATTCAAACCCAAACAAAATCTAAGAATTTTCAATCCAATTTTCTATTAAACCCAAACTAAACCAATCCATTGAAAATGTAAACCCATTCTCACATGTCCAATGTATACTGACTTGAGAATCCAATCCATTAAATCCATTTCAACTTAAACCATTACCAGGTCTACACACTCGATCACATTTATTTCATTTGATCAAATTTGAATGATTCGATTGAGAGGTTGGAGTACCTCATCCCTTTTGGGCTGGCTTAGCCTAACTGGATTCGGCCCAAATAAAAGGTGCATTTGTTTTGGGTTTGTTCGGATGAGCTGGCTGCTGCTACACAGCAATAGCAACAGTGCTATTCATGAGTTGCTACGTAGCCCGAAAAATATAGAAGCGAACAGGTCCTTTATCAAATTTGAATGATTAAGGCCTAATTTGATTCGGCCCAATTAAAAGGTGTACAAAGGAGGTTGAGGGTGCCCTTTTCGGTAGAAGTAATTCTTTGCTGCAAAGAACCCATTTATATACGCCTCACGGAACCCATTTATGTATTAAACTTATATTTGAGACCGAAGAGAGGATTGACTGTGCCGAAAGCTGAGCCATTCTGATTCCATCAAAGATGACACCCGCATAGCTAGCATCAGATGATCACAAGCCAGGAAAAAAGCCATAAGCTTTCCAGCTCATCTGAGCCTAATATAAAATGAACTAATAAATCAATAAGTTGAAACTACATTGCCAACTCCAAGTCTCCAACCATGAGCCTTCTCTTTCTTAGCCCTTTGAACAGTAGGAAATTACTTCAGAGACCCATCATCATCACTATCCTAACTCGACTAGCCTCCATAAGGCAACCTTGAGCAGCATCACCAAAGTGAGAAACACACCCAAAAGAATGACAATATAAGCACCGAACATGCAAACACGTCCTTGTGGAATGCAAAGAAGAAAATAGTATCATTGACAATTCTTTTAACAATAATGTTAGCAAGATTTCTCATAAGTATCCTAGTATCGACAAAAGGTTGGGTTATGCTTGAATGTCCTTGGTTTCAATGTGACAATTGACAAGGAAAGCATGTTAGCTCACAGCTTAACACAACAGAAACGAGAGAAACCCCTCTCGATTATGTACCAGAAGTGATTAATGCGATGTCAACACCTACTGAATATGCCCTTATGGCCTTACCCCTATATACTTGAGCTAGTGTAGAGAGCGGATGATGGCAGCTTTTGGCTGCTAGACAAATTACCAAATATGTCATTGCAGCCAACCCATGTTCTCTGCTCCCTTGCCTCCCAGTAACCTCCGACATAGCGGTATGTTCCATCCTCGCTGTCCCTTTGGAACCATCTTGGTTTCCAGCCACTCTCCTGCATCTTCCTTGCCTGCAGACGAACACATACAAGTAAGACATCAGTTAGGGCAAAAAAGCATCAAACATCCAATGATGGAATTCAGTCCACCACGTGCATGCAAGATCTCAAGGTGCAGGCCAGTACTCAAACAATATATAAATGGAGTCAATCAGTGATCATGATGCAGCTTTCATGAAAAGTAGAGCAATGCAAAATGGGTACAACCATCCGCTGCCGTGTCTCCAGACGCAGTTTTTCAGCATTGGCCTTCTCGTACTCCCCATTCTCCAGGTGCCGTTGATCTGGTCTCAGCCTTGAATCCGTTGGTGGCAGCTTCTCCTTAACAAGAGGGTAAAAATGTGCCTTAGCCTTTTAGGTTAAGAGCTAACAGAACTCAAATGATGGGTTATATGTATGTTCCATGTGTACCTTGAGCTCTGGTGTTAACTCATTTAATGTTATTGCAAATGCAGACAAGTTGTACCGAGTAGGATTGACTGGAGGCTCGTTTTTCTCCCATAGCAAAGTGGCACCAGAACTCTGATGTGAACCATGGGAGTTACCCTTAGAGGCATCATTGTTGATGATACAATGCACACTTTCATCCCACTTCCCCATCAATGTTGCAACCTTGCTTCCATCAGCATCCTTGACGACTCCTTGAACCTTCCATAGAGCTATATATTAGCACAACCCAAATTAATCTTATGGGTGATTGCACTTCTTTTTTTTTTTTTTTTGCCTTTCTTTACCTGGCGAGGATTCCGATCAAGGAAAGACTGCTCTTTAAACGTCAGCTTGCATGAATATCGTCTATTCCCACTTATGTTCATTGTGCCATGGTGATGGCAATATACTCGACCAAGGATAAGGTTGTTAATTGTTGTTGTAACCTGACAAGGAAAAGAAAAACATTTAAGCATAATAGTCAACCAGCATTTACTATCTCTTGCAGATCTCAAAGTGTAGATATGCAGAGGGGCAATCCAGAGATGGGCTGGTCGACCCATTGGGTAGTTGGCCCAACCAACGAGAGTAGGGGCAATGGGCCGCAAGGATCAATCACAAGTCCCAAAAAAAAATGGGTCAATAAAGCCAGAAGTATTGACCCGATGGGTAAGACGGGTCAACCCTCGTGCGGCCACCTGACCATGATGCCCAAGGCCAATCTGATCGACGCACCGCCTTCCTGCCTCCACTTCACCCCCATGCGCAGGTGCCTATATGTGATATATTTGAAATCGATTTTTTTTTTTTTTTCTTTTCTTTTTAAGTGCACTGCTTGTATTGTTGTGCACATATGTGATGAATTTAAAATCTTGCAAATGTTGTTAGATTACCACAGTCAATTTATTTATTACATTTAACTAGGATCCACTACAAATTTCTCACTTCCTTTTTTCTGAAAAATATTTGAACCAACCCATGATGCACACTGAGCCAGCCGAGGCTAGAGTCTTTAGCTAAAATGGGCTGACCCGTGCCTGTGAATTTGGCAGGTCCAGACCAGCCCCTCTAAGGCAATCATTTTCTAGTAATCAATGAATCACAATATCCAAATATGTTGAGATCAAACTGGGATGTTTTCATACAACCAGTGGAGAGGAGAGACTAGAGGGACAATAGCTGCATAGTTAAAGAAAGGAAATAATATGAGTATTATCCATTGACAAGGAATTTATACCTTGCTCCATTGGAAAGTTTCTCCATCATCAAACTCTAAAGTTAGCACACCATTAGGATCCAGTTGAATGGATTGTCCCCAGAATTTGCTCTTTAGATTGCTGTCTCCCCAAAATTTCCAACCTTTCCCCTCACAGTGACATGCCATGACCATAGGATGATGACTGACCTGGTGCAAGAATAAACAAGCACATTTAGTCAAGTGTGTTCTCATATATAACAGAACTTTAGTAATACTCCAGTGCTGGATCCCTGTACAAGATGTTCTTAGTGATTCCTCTTTGAGGCCTATATTCAGTATGGTTTGTTAAGTGACCAAACAATAATTGAGCATGAGCTAAACTTATATGTGTTGGGTACCGAACTGACCTTCTCAGAGAAGAAACGGATCCCCTTTTCAGGGTAATCAGCTTCGTAGGTTTCCCCAAGCAATGGATTGAAAGGTTTGCAGGGGCGGGAATCTGTGGACGCATATCCAGAGACCGCAAATGCAGCAACATAAAGAATTCTCATCAGACCATTCCCCTGAATGCAGAAGCAAAATTATTATGATACTGTCAATTCAATTTAACAATTTATAGATAAATAAGAAACACCATTAGTCTGAGAACTGAGTGATAACTTGGCTGGTAGAGTCTCCCATCAAGGAGGCCACCCACCCAGGCTCAAACGTAGGTGCTCATAAAATGTGGGTACCTCCTTGTGAACTGGTTCAGCGATCTTTCTGACCACTTAAGTTCCAGTAACTATTTTAAGACAAAGCTAAGGGGATGCCACATGGTTGATTTGATTTTTAGAAAAAAAATACTGACTGAATTGAAGGATAGCTCCATCAGCCAAAAAATTGACTCCAATATCCAGTGCTATTTTTTAAAGATTGAAAGTGCAAATTTCCTGATTTAAAATATTTATCCTATTGCCATTGGGTCAAAAAGAATTTTTATTTCATGGCGGCCATTGTGTTAGCCAGTTTCTCTTCATGGGCCCGCCTATTCCCTACTATTGGATCATTCCCCCCAACAGTAACTTCCAGCAGGTTTAAGTAGTTCAATGTAGGTGTTTGGGTCAGATTCTCATTCAAAAGAAAATGTATGGGTCGAGGAAAACAGGAAGGTAGAGAAACATGCATACCCTTAAACCACATTCATATGCACGATCCAACAAATAAGAGTACTCCAACTCTTCAAAGCACTTCTGGAGAGAAGATAAAGGTTCATTAAAGTAAACAGGAAGGCAGACTCTTGTTAGATCCTTTCCAACATTGTCTTTGATCATTGACCAAAGGCTAACTCCTTTCTCCTTTTCTATTGGTTCAGGCAACTGTGAGCGCCTTATTGAATGTGACAGCATATATTTCTCGGCCTCGTCAACAGTCAGTGATTCAACAGATTTATGATCTTCATTTCCGTAGCTTAAGCATCCCTTTCTCGGGTCAGCAGGACTAGTAGCAAATTCACTGAAACTTTGCCTTGTGTCATAGAAATGAAATTCATCTCCATCTGATAGTTCACTAATCTCTTGTTTGCCAACATCATCAGATGATTCTGTGTTGCTATATTCTGATGAGAAAACAAAAGTAGGGATAGTAAGCATATTACAGATCACATGCAAAGGGGAATGGCTGCAACGAAAGTGCATCAAAGAAGCCATAATAATGCTTGGGCACTGCCTATTCCTGGAATTTAAACCATTTGATATTCAGGCAATCCAAGGGAGAAAAAGCAAGAAATGCAAGTGATCAGATATAAATGACTGGCAACAACTCAAATGCTGAGTGTCTTATCATCATTTTGAATATTGACATGTCATAGATATTTATAGCCCAGGGAGCTTCTATGCTACATGTTTACAGGTGGAATGATAGAAAACTATTCGCTATACTCAAATTTCATTCCACATGATCAAATGAAGCTAGGAAAGAAACAATGTACTGAAACATCACTCCTGAAAAAGTGGTCCAGTAAAATTGCACATTGAATAGCCACAGTTATATGGAGGAATGGAATGGATATTACATCACCAACGAAAGCCTTATCATGGCTAGGAAAAAGGTTACGTCACTATTACCGAGTAAACTTTTAAATTGACTAGACAGAAAATTTCAAAGAAAAAGGAGCAACAAGAGGAACATCAAGTACCACTACATTTTCCAGAGCTGGAGCAGTCATGCTTGAACAGCTCCAGCTGTGGCTTCTCAGGGACAGTTGAATCTACTGAATTAACTACCTGCATGAACAGAAAAAGTTCTCTGGTCAGTGGACAGCGTCCCACTCCCACCAATTTATTATTCGACTTACAATCACAGTCCAAGTAACCTTTTTAGTTAAATGTGACAGTACATTTGGCTAGTAAACTAGAATTGGTATGGTCTATCTTCTAAATACAAAAAGTGTTCATCAAACTACAGTTGGCAAAAAAAAAAGCATATAACATGATTGTAACCTGCTGAATATGCAGCAATTAATCCATAACTATAGGCACATCCAGCACCCAATCCGAGAGAAAAACATAAGACTCAGGTATACGATTCTAAGGAAAACCAACATTAGTTTTTATGCCATGGTATAACCAATAAGATATTGTCATATGAACTGCAACTCTATAAATAGCTTATTTTACCTATTGAATTACAAGAAAACATTACCTCAACTTCCCGTGGAAGACTGCCAATAAAGCTTAAATACTCTTCGCAACGCTGCTTCATCTGTGTTTGGTACTGCGAAAATTCTGAATGAATAATCTGCTCACAGTCTTTAATAACGGCCTCACCAACGCCTTCAGCATGCAAGCGATTTCTGAGCTTTTCTGTGGAAAATGATGCATCATTCTGATCACCTGATAAATCCCCATTAAAAGAATATTCGCTTCTTGCAGTGACAAGTGCTTCAATCCAAGTCGCCCGGTCCTTAGCACAACCAGTCCTCAGTTGAAGTGTTTTGGTCGGAGTAATTATATAAAACCGTTTATCATCTGATTTACTTTCACTAAATGATGATATCTACAAACAGGTAAAGAGAATGGCTAATCAGCAACCAGAATATTCAGAAGCAGGCAAGTAACTGAAACTTTGAATTACAGTGTCATCCAAGAAGAGATGAGATCTACGCTTGCACTCTTGCAGTTCACTAAATGATGATATCTACACTTGCACTCTTGCAGTTCACTTCACAAATATCTTCAAACCTCCACCATTGCATTGCCATGCCAGTTAATCACTGCTTCCTCCAGCTAAAGAAACAGATAGCCAAAAAAGACAAGCAGCTTTATAGCTCATTGAGCCTTGTTTAGTTCCCACCCCAAAACTTTACACCCTGTCACATCGAATGTTTAGACACATGTATAGAGTATTAAATATAGACTATAACTAATTGCACAGTTTACGACTAATTTACGAGACGAATCTTTTAAGCCTAATTAGCCCATATTTTGACAAAAAGTGCTACCGTAACATATGTGCTAATGACGGATTAGTTAGGCTTAATAAATTCGTCTCGCGGTTTACTGGCGGATTCTGTAATTTGTTTTTTTATTAATATCCGAACACCCCATACGACACCCTCGTATAACATCCGATGCGACGGATCTGAACAAGGCCTGACTGAAGCAGAGCCAGCAGCCGAGGGACCGTTCAGGAGCCGGGAAAAAGATGAAAAGCTCCCAGCCCCTTTAATTCGCTACGGACAGAGTGATCCGTACGGCCTCACGTTCCCACCAACCATGGACTCCCAATGCGACACAAAACGGAGGCGCCAAGACACCAGGGCGTTTGAACAAGATCCAGCTGGGAGCCCGGTTGCCCCCACTTGTAAACATCTCCCCTGCGGAGCACGGGACAAGAACAACACTGTTGCAAGTTGATGCAAAGACTGTTCTTTCACACTGAGCAGTAGTACTACACATTGAGCTGACGCTGTAAAAGGCGAGCTCCAATCAAAACAAGGCATCGCTTTATTCCGACAGGGGTTAGCAATTGCTTGTGGTAGTGTACGTACTAGTAACTTTCGATCGTTCCTTTACAACGAGCGTGAGCGTGAGCGTGAGCGTGATGAGTGCGAGTGTGTTTGCAAGCGATCCCCGCCGCAGATCGTCACGGTTGTACGGCACGAGGTAACTTTACAGCTGGAGACTGGAGTTGCGCCTGTGCCCGTCTGTTGGACTGTTCCGATCCGACTTGACGCGGAAAAGGGAGGGATTGGAGCAGACCAGCTCCACTAATTTGTAGCAGAACTTTTGAAGTGGGTTTATATAGAACTTTTGAAGTGGGTTTATATACTGACTTAAAAGACAAACGATTTGCGCTATATTTAATATTTATGCTAAAAAAATGCATAGATACTATCTAACTATTACGAACGATTTGCGCTATGAAATGCATAGTACTAGCACTATTTAACGAATGATTACGCTCAATGTTTAGCGGTTTTGGGATAATAAATCAAGACACTACAATGCCTCACCGGCTACAAGCAAGAGATTGACGAGTGGTGCCTCACCGGCTACAAGCAGCTAAGGTCATTAACGGCGCTCCAGTGATCCCACTTGTGCTGTAGTCGCGAAAAACTTTTAGTATGTAATCACATCCGTGCGCTGTTGGGGAAGAGGATCTCGGTAACCCAGGATTACCGTGGCCTCTCTTTGATCTAACGAAAACTCTTCTCTGCTTAACGAAATACGCACGATCGCGAAAAAAAAAAAGACACTACAATGCGTCGTTGCTCTAAACAATGACGAGATGATTCAGGGCGAACGGGAGGGGAAACGCAAACCCCGCCTTGAGAAATCAGACAACGAAGAAACGCGAATCGAAACGAGAGGGAGAGGAAACGAACGCGAGGCGATCACCTTGAGAGGCACGAATCCGATGGGGCGCTCCCCGGTGCCCCCGGCGCCGCGCGCCACCCCGATCAGCCTGACGCCGCCCGCGGCCTCGGAGGCGGGATGCGGCTCCGCCGCGACGCGCCGCCGGATCTTCGAGTAGGCGAGCACGCCGCCGCGGATCGCGAACCAGCGCGGGCGCCACCCCTTGCCGATGTTGGTCCACTTGTACAGCACCCCAGCCACCGCCGGCGCCTCCCCCGCCGCGTCCGCGTCCTCCGCCGGCGAGGGGGAGCGGTCGCCGGGCGCGAGCCCGCCGCCCGAAGACGGCCACTCCCCGGCGAGGCAGCAGAGCGGGTGCATCTCCCACGCCCGCATCGCGCGCGGCCCCTTAGTTAGTCTCCCCCGGCCGGCCGCCCGATCTCCGCCCGCCCGCCCCTCACGCGGCCACCATTTGGCTGGCTCTTCGGATTACTCTATTCGAGCAGCCGATTCGGTCCGGCTTGGGTGGGCGCGTGGAGCGAGGCGACGAGACGTGGACTCGCTCGCGGAGGGAGGGAGGAGGCTCTGATGCGGCGGGCGGGCTGGCGCCAGGGGCCTTTATGCTGGCAGCCTTGCGCTTAACGCCTCCGGCTCCGGCTCCGCGCATCCGCAAAACAGTTGGGAACTGGCGTCCGTCTTCGCGAGCAAAGCAAGGCAGCGCCGGCGCGGCGCGGCCTGCTCCTGCCCCGTGCCACAGCCTCTGCCTGCCTGGCCGGCTCGTGCGTGCCCGTCGCGGTGGCCCCGCGTGTCGGTGGATGCGTGCCGGGGGTGGTTCGGCCGGCCGGAGCCGGACGCGGCCTTGCTGTAGTGGTTCGTTCGCTGGCTGGTCGGGTCCCGCGTGGCAGTGGCACTGGCAGGACCCGTGCGCGCTTGGGCTTGGGTCAGTCAGTGGAACGGACGGGCGTGTCGCTGGTGGGTGAGTAATTTCGGTGCAGTGCACTGCAGCTGACCATGTCCTCTCTGACTGGCTGTAGGCACGCTGGACAGCGGGGCCGACCTGACAGTTGCCTGGCTCTACCACATTGGTGTCCACTGTTCTAAACAAAACCCATTTATTTATTTCAATCCAAGAGTTGTAGAATAGAATCCATAGAGGTGAGCGCGAGGGAAATGATCCGACAGGAATATGCTCATATGCCAGTGAGTGAGAAGAAAACGTGCAACTTGCATGCATCGAAATGGACACGGTACTTCGATATGGACATATGGTCCTTCGGCCACCACTATGCTGCTAGGGCCTGGGAGTAGTATATTTAGATTTAGGAGAACCTTGGCCAAAATAAAAAGTATATATATATGTTTATATATAGGAGGAGGAGATGAAGAACAGATCGAAAGTCGGGCATCGGCGTGATGACGACCGCACGTCGCAGCCACGAACGCGCGAATCTAGCGGGGGCAAACTAACCGAGACCTGGCGACCTGACCTGATCACGCGTCCGCCCACCAAAAACGCCGGCCCAGACAAACGAGACGTCCCCATCTCACGTACACGTACACATGCATGTGTTGCGCGGGCGGAGGCGCGGAGCCGTTCAGCCATCTGGGTCGAGGTGTGCACTGGGCCGGGTCTGGCCGTCTGGGTGAGGAAGAAGAATCTACTAGTCTTACGGACTAGCAACCTTGCTCCCGCGACGTACTCTTGCGGTGGTTGCTGCCTCGCTTTACACGGGCAGGGCAGCAGCATCCTGATCTTCGCGTCGTCCCATCCCATGTGACTCGTGTTCCGTCGTCGTCGTCGTCGTCGTCGCTGCTGCTGCTTTGCCGCGTCGGTAAGTTTCCTTGGTGTGAATTTCCCTGACCTGACCGGATCGGGATCCACGAGTTGTCACGCAACCAAACCAATTAAAGCATCCGTCAGACTGTTTCGTAATACTCTCCCTGTCTAAAATAATTACACATGTCGATTCTCGACAAACCAGTTTGATAAAAAATATACAAAATATATTAATATTTATAATGAGAAATAAATATGATTATTTGATCATAAAGTGTACGAAGATACAAATGTTGATACTCCCTCCATCTCAAATTATAAGTCATTCCAAGAATCTTGGAGAGTCAAAACATTTCAAGCCTGACCAAATTTATATGATAAGATAATAACATTTACGATACCAACTAAGCATTATTAGGTTTTTCATTAATTATATTATCACAGTATATCTATTTGATGTTACAAATCTTTATAATTCTTTCTATAATTTTGGTCAAACTTGATATGCTTTAACTTTCTAAGATTTTTGGAATTACTTATAATTTGGGATGGATGGATGATTATTTTTTACATATCTAGTTAAAAAATGACTATATGAGAAATGAGATGTATATTTAGATATGGAGGCAGGAAGAGATTGGTTGCGTCCAAGGCAGCTTTGTTTGGTGCCACATTCAACGTCTGATTTTGTTCGAGGCTGAAATGGTTGCTTGGCGCCACATTCGTTTCTAGGCGTCGGATTTTGGGTGTCTGGGGTGAGCTGGCTGTTTGGCACCCACTTTGTAGTTTCATGAGAATTAAATAAAATAACATAGTATATATATAAATTAAGAGAGATGATAAAAAATTTATGAAATAAAATGAGTTTTACGTGAACGGAACTTTGTCTTTGCTGTTTTAAGTATGTAAAGTCTTAAAAGCTGATAAATATAAAATCCACTGAGACTGGCTAAACCATTCTACGTTGTGTACGAAAAGTGGATAGTCACAGTCTCTCCTCCATCTCACACAATGACGTCCGACAAGGTCGTCAGTCCGCATCAATTTTTCCTTGCGTTTTTCAACGTTTCACCGTCTGATGTATTATATACGGGCCAGCTTGCTAGACCAAAACGCGGACGGCGGGCTATTCCCTGGGCTTTGGGATCAGACATGGGCCTCATAGAATGTGTATCCATGTCTGCCACTTACTTTCTGGGACTGGCGTGTGCACACCTGCAAGGCATGGACGGCCTTGAGGAATCTGGCCTGCTGAGCAAGGAGAGCGGTGACCAGAAAAAAGTCCATTTCTCTTCAGTCCTCTTCCTCAGCTGCTGCTCACACGGGGCAGGATACCGCATGCGGTCTCTTCCACACGCTTCTTTCCCCAAGATACAGTAGATCACGGCGAATCCCAGGCTATTTCCAACTCCCGGCGTCGATTCCTTCTCTTCTCCGGTGGCCACTTTGGTGCCGGGGATGGGGAGGAGTTGTGGAATCGATGACCTGTGTATATACCTTTCATTTTTAGCTTTCCCCAAGATATAGTAGATCGCGGCGAATCCCAGGCTATTTCCAACTCCCGGCGTCGATTCCTTCTCTTCTCCGGTGACCACTTTGGTGCCGGGGATGGGGAGGAGTTGTGGAATCGATGACCGGTGTATATACCTTTCATTTTTAGCTTAAGTTTGTGTAGGTTAGAGTTAGGGATGGCGTCTTTTCCAAGCTTCTCCGGCGTTGGCTATGTAGATGGTGGGCGGGTTCTAGTGGTGGTCTATGGGCTAGAGGACCACAGCGACAGTATCATCTGCAGGAGGTTTGGCATCGACGATTTTTCTTTGTTTCCTTCTTCTGCGTCGGTGCTCGAATCTTCTGCGTGCTTCTTTGAGTTGTTTGTGGCCTTCTCGTCAATGGCAACGCCGAATCCATGACCCACAACATGGCCGTTGTTCAAAGGAGACTTGGTGCTTTTACCGGTGGTGTTTTCACCGGGATTTTGTCTCTCCAAGGAGGTTTCCCTTGGAGGTTATGGATCAACTTGCTCCTGCATGCGGGCTGGTGTTCTTGGATCCCTTTTGTGAGATTGTTGCTTGTTGGCCGGAGCTTGCCGGTGATGTGACTGGCGTCTGTTTCCGGTGAAAGTGGGGTTTGCTCGGGGCGTTCAACGGTTAAACAGCACGGCGTGCTGTTGATGGGCTTCAAAAATCAAGACTCGTTGTTGAATCGGGAATCGGCTGGAAGCTTCGTTCTGGATCTTCTTCATTACGGGAGATGGACGAGGACCAGGCTGCGACAGCGATGGTCGGCGATGGCAACGGGCACTGGATGCTCCTGTAATGGACTTATGTGTAATTTTATTTTCTTTCAGGGGTACCCGGTCAGGGGTTTGGTTGTAAGCGTTCTATATCAATAAAATCCAACCCTTTCTAAAAAAAACAGAAAAAAAATCATTTTACCGTTCTCAACTATCATATAAATAGGAGTTTTTATAGTGGTTTTGGTTGATGTGGCGCCACATAAGCCATCCTACGTGGTGCCAAATCACCCACGAGAGAGGTAAACCGGACTTTAACGATAGTTCAGGAGGTCAATTAAACTTTATAAAAAATATAAAATACTTGTTAAAAATCCAAATATGTTCAAGAATAAATATGAATATATAAAACTAAAATCTGATTTGTTATTTGAAAATTCATAAAAAAATATTTTGATTTAGAAAAATAGGAAACCAATTTCTTATTTTTACTAAAATTATGCTCTGCCTTTATGTTCTTTGCTTAGAAATAGTTGAACCTTATATGGTCTCCTAAAATGCCAGATGTGAAATGGAGGATAATGAATTTTTACCGACTGGAACGTGAATTGCCGTGCAACCCTCCATGCATGCTACAAAATAAGTTTACTCGACAGTAATGTCTTGCTTAACCATTAAGACATACATGGGAAATCCAAATAAAACATCAGCGTAGACGGCATGCGACTTGTTAGGCCAATACCAGTGGGAGTTTCATGGCTCTGTGTTTCCAAGACTCACTGGTACGGTGTTGGAAATAGTGTAAATAAGTTTCATCCTCGTGAAATTCATTTCATCTCATAAAACTATTTTCATGTCTCTTTATTTAAATTATACAACATCAACTTATTTAATATCCATAAAATTACCATCGGGACTAGTCTTAGCCTCCCGAGCCGACTACTTGACTTAGCTGACAACATCCGAATGGATGTGACTGCTTCCTTATTCATTGTCGCTGTTGTGGATATGCACATTCTTTAGATTATAGCACCTAGGGCCTTGTTTAGTTTGCTTCAAAATTCCAAGTTTTTTCACTCTCTCTCCATCACATCAATTTTTATTCATGGAGTATTAAATTGTAAAAAAATCGCTGTTGTGGATGAATGAGCCTAGTTGGTCCATGATTGGACAATATTTGCCAAATAAGACGAAAGTGGTACTATTCATTAGCAAAAAGTTTATAGCACCTAGCTCAGAAAAATATCAGAGCATGATTCCGAATTAAAATAAATTTTCTAATATTAAATCAGATTTAATATTTTTAAATGTGTATTTATTATAGAAAAATATTTGGAATTTTTTGAAAAAAAATATGTCTACAAATTTTTTAAAGTCTAATTTATC